CCTTGATGTTCTCTTGCTGATTCCTCTTGTTGACCGACTGCTCCAAACTGTCATTACATTCCTCAAACCCACTCTGTATTCACCATCAACAGATGACAATCTCTCCCAGTTTGTACTGGATACCCACAAACATTTCAATGAAGTGGGAGGGCAGAAAGGTATCAAATCTGTACCTTCTTCTTCCTGCCAGTTTTAAGGGAAGAGGTTATCTCCTCTCTCATCCAAGGCTAACCTCTCATTTCACCGAGAGTTGTTCCATCACTTATTCTTTCTTTCTTCCTCCCTCCCATTGAGCTATCTTCAATTCCTTCATCTTTACTGGCTTTTCTTTAATTAACAAACACAGAGGTTTCTTCCATCTCCTCACCCGCCAAAACTCCTTCCTTTTATCTACTACCACACCTAACTCCTTCCTTTCTCATACAATTTTTCAAAAAGAAAGCCTACTCTGGCCATCTTTGCTTTTGTATCTCTCACCCCTTCTTTACGCAATCCTGCTTCTACTCTTACCAACCTACAGAAACTGTAGAGTTTCTTGCCAGGACGACCAATGACCTAATTGCTTATTTATTTTTTAAATTATTTTTATTGGGTTGACATTGTACAATAAGATCATATAGGTTTCAAGTGTACATTTTTTAAAAAATAGCATGATTTAATTTACTTGCTGCTGAATCCTGAATCCTCTTAAAACACACACACACACACACACACACACACACACAACAAAAGTTAAAATTAACTATTCACGTTAATGAATTTAAACCTTCCAGAAAACATGAATCCAAAAGGAAATGTCCAACAGGTGAGCGAGCCACATATAATATTTTATGGCCTTTCCTGTATTGGCCTCGTACTTTCTAAACATCAATGGGGAAAAAAAAAATCTTTATCGAGTTTTGTAGTTTTATTCTTCCGGTGCATAATGTTCAGCCTGTTATTGAGGACTGTCTTCCAACAGGTACACAATCAGCTCATAGGTGGACAGAACAATGGCCGTGTTGGGGATCTGCCGGATGAGCTGGGCAAAGAGTCCTCGATAGAAGGCAAGGTAGCCTTCTTCCCGGAAGACCAGCCGAGCGGTCTGGACAAAGGACTTGTACTTGGTGGCCTCCTCCCGCAGCCGCGTCCTTATCACTTCGTGTGGATAGGCGATACAAGAGGCACATCCCTTAGACACAGCAGCAGCTGCCATAAGTCCAAAAAAGCTTGCGGAATTCTTCTCAGTCCCGTTTGCGGAGAGGCTGAACGGGGCGTCCTTCAGATACTTCTTCAGGCTTTCATAAACAGCGAAGCAGATGACAGTTTCTGAGATCCCCGAGTACGAGGCGGTTAATCCCCGGTAGAAGCCGCAAATGCCTTCCGTCTGATAGACGTGGCACGCACACTGGAGCGTGTTCATCTGCTTACAGCCGCGCACCTTCCGTTCTAGCTGTATCCGGGTTTTAACCATCCATATAGGATTCATTAGGGAATTTGTGATAAAAGCTGCAGAGCCAGCTGAGAAAATGTGCACAATATTGCTGTTGGGCACAAAAAAGCCATTGAACTGCTCTTTGGCTCTGGAGTAGCATGCAAAGTACACAGCCCTTGGCGGTGCAACTCCAACCAAATTTGGACCCAAGCCTCTAAAAAGTGACTTTGGTCCCTCCTTCTCCAAGATTGACTTCAGAACCTGGAGTAGTCCAGGCATCACCGACGTTGGTCTCACCACTCCAGCGCCATCAATGGCCCAAGTGAACCTGAGGGTAATAGACTGTCCACAGAACTAACTTCGAAGACTGCAGCCTTGTCTTAATGACTTCGAGTGGACAAGTGAAAATAGCACCAACCATGCCCCCGCACCAGCCGGCGAAGAGGTGGAGCAGCGTGTTCTCCTTCTGCTGAGAGCTGGTCGCCATGGATGTGCCGGTGCTGGTGCCGGTGCCGGTGCCGGTGCCGCCCGGCGCGAGGCGGCTCGAAGGATGCGGGAGGCGGCCGCTCCGCTGGCCCCGCTGCTCTCAGGCGCCCGCCGTCCCCAGGAGGCGCATCCCCACGACCCGCTCCCTCGGCCAGCACACTCCGGGGGAGGCCGCCGGCCCTTCACCCGCCACAAGTGTACATTTCTGATACATAATCCGTATTACCTAAAGTCATATCATCTTCTATGCCTGTAAGCTTGGCCCCTTTACCCTTCACTACCCCTCAACTCTGTTGCTTAGTTTAATGTAGGGGTGTCGAACTCAATCAGAGAAGGGGCCAAAATCTAAAATCCAGCCTAAATCGTGGGCCGAATGGTTTACTGAACAGTCATAAACTGTCATTGTGATGGAAACGCAGCGGAGTGCAGTGATGACAGCGCGGTGCGGGCCACATTGCAAGGCCTGGCGGGAAGGATTTGGCCCGCGGGCCTTGTGTTTGACACATGTGGTTTAATGGATACATCTGTTCTTGGTTTCCCTGTTAAATTTGATATTATTGAGTCTAACCTTTCCTTGGCTTTTCTGAGACTATGCTGTTGATTCTCCTATGTTTTGGACGTTTCTTCTTTTTTTTGTTTTGTTATTTCTTTTTCCTCTATCATTTCACCTTTTATAGATTTAACTTATAAGTCCCAAACCTATGTCACTTCAATGTTAAGTTGTTGGGGAGAAGAGGAAGAAAAAGCATACTGAGAAGGAATGACTGGTGAGGCAGGAGAAAAAATAAGAGTGTATGTCTACTAGAAACTAAAAAAAGAAAGTATGTATAGGATGAAGATATAAGGGAACAGAGAAATAGCTTGATGTGGAAGTTGAGTCTCTAAGATGAGAGAAATACCACCATGTTCATATGCTGCTGTGAATGACTGAGAAAGAAAACTCGAGAATGCAGGAGAGAGTGGATATAGCCTTGAGTAGTAGGCAAAAATGGGACCTATCTAGCACACCAAGGAAGCAAACAGTCTTAAACAGAAGTTGTACAACCTGTATGATTTACTTATTTTTATCATCTCTTCCAATTCTAAAGTGTAAGTTCTACAAGAACAAGGGTTTTTGTGTGTTGTGTTTGCTGTGGCCTGGAAGAGTAGGAATTAGCATGTTAACAAACATGCAATGGAGTGGGTTTTATGCCGGCACAAGTACAGGTAACTTTTTCAGAAAGTTTTCCTGTAAAGTGTGGCTAAAGCTAGAGGGGAATATGAGAGCAAATTATTATTATTTTTTTTAAGATGAGGACTATTACGGCATGTTTGTTGGAACTGATGGAAATGATCTGGCAGAGAAGGAAAATTGGATGACACACGAGAGAGAGGATACAGCCAGAGTGAAGTCAGTGAAAAGAAAGGGGACACGATCTAGTGTGGAGTGGAGGGAGGGACTGTCTCCAACAGGGGCCGGGACAGTTCCCCATGTTTAACCAGAGCCGGGGCGGTGACAGACATGGTAAGTGGGAACAGGTGAGGTGCTTTGATTGCTTCTACTCTCAAATATTTACACAGACAAGTTCAGCAGCTGAGTATACAATTTTACCTATACGTTCCCCAAAATTCTAGTTTAGCACTTCTTAGTTGGGATTCAGGAATCTGTATTTTAACAACTCCACCAGGTGATTCTCATCATGAGAGAAGTTTGGGAAACACTGATCTAGGGAAATAGGGAAGAAATGTAAACGAATGACTGAAACACTTGCCGTAAGTAGACAAGAACTGAAAGGGAGACAGTGTGCCCTCGTTCCGTTTTCCCTAAGGCGACCAGACGTCCCGATTTTTAACAGTCTGTCCCGCGGCATTTTTAAAACACATTGTTCAAATGCGGGACTGTCCCGCCAGAAGTGGGTCGCCTGGTCACCTTAGTTTCCCCCAGCACTTTCAGCTGCCTTGGGTGCGGGTGTGAAATAGGAAGGGGTTTTCAACAGGGTGGTCAACAAGCAAGAAGGAAGGATGGGCAAAGGGACAAAGAAAAACTGAGTAGTATGTATGACATTTAAGTGGATTAGGAGGGAAGGGAAAAGTGCTAGTCAAAGGGCGGCAGGATCAATGGTGGGACCCAAGAGTTGTTGGAACCGGGGTTCTCATTCCTCCTCCATCTGTGAGCTCCCCGGCCCGCAAATCCTTCCTCGGGGGAGTGTGGGCCAAACCCCCCGGGGCCTCGGACCCACATCCCACTTCGCCCGCTTTCCCGGGAGAGTTTTCCCGGCGGCTCCCAGCGCGGCTCCTCCCCCCCAGCCCCCCCTCTGGGAGGTGAGGCCGGCGCTCTCCGCGGACCGCCCTCCCCAAACTCACTGTTGGGGCCGTTGCTGGGCGTCGCCAGCCGCCGGCGAAGGACTTCCTTCCAGTCCATGGCTGACTCCCGCGCTGCAGCTCCAGCATTTGCTAACCGCTCCCCTCGCTACCAGCTCAGACCTCAGCCGGCGGCCGGCCTCCCGGAGGCTGCGGAGGCCGCTCGGCCGCCATCTTGGGCGCGGGCGGAAGTCGGCTACGGAGGCAAAACGGTGAACGTGGTCACTGCGGAGAAACCGGCGGTCACACCGACAGCGGGGAGAGGAGAGCAGGCGGGAGAAAGGACGGAAAATGACGTCCTCCAGGCAGCTTCCCAAGGCCACGGCGCCCGACGGTGAAGGCGCAGGAGAGGGACGCCCGCACTTGGATTTCCTCTGGGGCCTTAGGCGCGTCGGCACCACGTGACCCAGGGGTCCTTGGGCGCTTTCGGGAAGCGTTTTCTCCACAATTTCTTTTTATTGTTCCTTGAGGATATATGGAGGCCCTAAAAGTTCCCTTAAATGTAGCAGACGCCTTGACTAACTCACCCCCCCCCCCCCACACACACACACAAGGCTCCCTCTGCCAATAAAAGCTTCAAAATCGCCTTCCTCTCGCCGCCCGGCCTGCGCCCAGCTCAGCCGCGCCCCGCGGCGGGGCCGGCGCGGTGCATTGTGGGCGCGGTAGTTTCCGTGGCGCCTGTGGTTGCGGCCGTACAGCGCGCGCGCTCCGGTGAGTGGTTGAATGAAGTGAACTTGTTTGTGACTGATCTATGCGCCGTAGGCTGAGCCCTTTGTGGCCCGTCCTCCCTCCCTTCCCTGAGTGTTGGCCCGGCCTCTCCCCTCCTCCCCCAGCCCATTCCCTGGCCTGACGAGTCCGGCGGTCTGGGGACGGTGGTTCTGCGGGGCAGGCCGCTAGCCTGGCTTTCGCCGCTGCCCTTGCTGGTGGGGCTGGGCCTCCGGGTCACGATATTCGACTTGACGTCTCGCCTGCAGCAAGGCATCCAGGGCATCCTATCCCTTCTCAGGGACAGCTGTGATTCTCGGGAGTCAAACTGGTCCGTCCTCCTTGTGCTTTTTCCTCAGGTTCGCGGACTGGACTGTAACAGGCACCAGCGATTCCTGCTCCGGCTCTGCGGTTGCGGCAGACGTCGGATGTCCCCGGATCAGCATTGCTCAAGGGAGAAAACTCATAAGACTTCATTGCTATTAAGTAACCGCAAAAGCAGAGCCTTGGTTTTTCTGTGAGAAATTGAACACCGTCTTTTAAAAAGTTGCGTTTCGACTCGTCCTCTCCCCCCCCCCCCCCCCACATTCGTGCATTATGCGGTAGAAGTAAGGGCTTTTTCTTCACCATCTGCTGATCTCCCTGCACAATGAATTTCTGTTTCACTACTATTAGAAGCTTTCCTAAGCTTTGGAAAAACAACCCATATCTTGGAGTCGGCCCAGGACACTCTTACAACTCTTTCTTTCTGAAAGATGGTTATGGCATCAGGAACCAACAGAAGTTGTTTTCTCTTAAAACAGTGTCTCCACAAAATACCAAAGCAATAAACCTGACTGCCAAGGCCAGATATCGCAGAAAGGAAGATGAGGGCAGTAATAAAGTTTCTTCTGAGTTTCCTCACCTTTTTGCAGCTGGAGCAGCTAAGAAAAGATCTCAAATGAATCCTCATAATCAAGATCTTGCCTTGTCACCTGAGAGAAACATTGTTCAGCTCCCAAGCAAACCTTTGAATTCAGAGCAGTGGGATAAACTTAAAGAAGATTTCAAAGGAAAAGCTAATTTTGAAGATTGGATCATTATACAGTTGATTAACTACAATAGCTCTATAGATGTGGCCAAATCTTTGCTGGCCTGGGTAGCTGCAAAAAATAATGGTATTGTAAGCTATAATTTGCTGGTCAAGTATTTGTGTCTCTGTGTCTTTCATAAGCAGACATCAGAAGTTTTTGATGTCTATGAAATCTTAAAAGCCAGATACAAGACTTTAGAAACTTCAGCAAGCACTCTTCTCATCCGAGGATTAATCCATTCAGACAGATGGAGAGAGGCTTTGCTGCTGTTAGAAGACATCAAAAAAGTCATGATCCCTTCAAAAAAGAATTATGGTGACTGTATCCAGGGAGCCCTCCTTCATCAAGATGTAGACATAGCTTGGAATTTGTTTCAGGAATTGTTAGGTCATGATCTTATTCCTATGATGGAAACTTTGAAAGCCTTCTTTGATTTTGGAAAAGACTTAAAAGATGATCAATATTCAAAGAAACTGCTAGACCTTCTTTTGTATCTAAGAAATAATCAGCTATATCCTGGGGAATCATTTGCACACAGTATAAAAACATGGTTTGAGAGGTAATTTTGATTTTTCCTTTTCTGTATGTTTTTATTTTAATACCTATATAGCTGCCTTTTTTTATTGGTTGCTGAGATTATTCCGATTTATAGTACCTTTCCCATCTCTTAAGATTTGTTTCCCTTTACAAAATCTTCCTTCTCTAAAAAATCAGCATAAACAAATTGTGTTAATCTCTACTCATCACATAAAAGGGAAATGATAGAGAATTTGTAGTTTTTATGTGTTTTCCTATTTAGAAGGATCACTTATTTTGCTTTCTGAAGTATCTGGCAAGATGTAAGTACTTATAAATAGCACTTGTGCCTTGAGTTCATAGTATTTCATCAACTTAGATAGTTAAAGAGTTGAGGGGGAGATCCTTATCAACTCTGATATGTAAGCATTAGCATAAACAGTCTTCATCCTTGCATTCATTTTAGATCTTTCTATCATTAAACTGCTCTCTCCAAAGCTCTCCAATGACTTTCCTTTGCTTTTTTTTTTTTTTTATTTTATTATTATTTTTTTTAATGTTACTGGCTTTATGCCTTTTTATTGCTTCAGTCTTTAACTTTATTTCTTCACCATTAATTTGCTTTTGGCTATTTCCCAAAATTTTATTCCTTTTCTCTCATTTCCCTTCCTCTTTTTCTATTATGTATCATCAGAGCTTTGAAGTGGTAATCAAGCTGAATTATATTTTTTGTTTGTTTGTTAATCCTAACTCAAGGATATTTCTTTATTGATTTTTTTTAGAGAGAGTAGAAGGGATGGATAGACAGAGAAATATCGATGTGAGGAAGACAAAATGATTGGGCTTGGTGGATCAAGCCAGCAACCACAGTACCATAATCAAACCCTCAGCCCTTTCAGTTTGAGTCTGTCCCCTGAGCCAAACTTTCTAGGGCTGAATTATCTTATTTAATAAACTTATTGAATATCAATAGAAGCACTAGAATGTGGAAAATTTTTGCAATGATTTTAGATTTTATTCTGTTATCAAGAGTGTTTGTCTAGGAGTGGAATTTTAGAACGGTAACTGCCAAAACAGTGAGAAAAGAAGATTGGAGAGGGATTAAAATTGAAAACAAATATGTTTGGAGGCAATTATAGGTTTGAATGAGAGATTATAAGATTCTGAATTAAGAACTGAAGAAGAGAAAGCAATAGAATTAATAGAATCATGGTGGTATATGTAAAAGGAAAGAAGAAATGGTAAGTTGAACAAATAAGTATTTTGAATGCCACTAATTAGGATAGCCACCAAGGATATTTTGTGACACAAGATCTTTTATGGCATTCACAATTGGGAATGCAATACATGTCAGTTAAATAATAGTAGTAGCTTTGACTAGAGTGGCTCAGTTGATTGAGTGTTGTTCCATGTACCAAAAAGGTTGCTGGTTCGATTCCTGGTCAAGGCACATGCCAGGCTGTGGGTTCCATCCCTGGTCAGGATGAGTACATGAGGCAACCAACTGATGTTTCTCTCGCTCTCTCTCCTTTCTCTAAAATAAATAAAAACATTAAAAAAAAATAATAGTGGCGTAAGAAAGTATAAAAGAAATTCCTGTATCATGGGCAGGAACGATCTCTGGCAGCTTTATGGAGAAGGTTAGAGTTGAGTTTAATTAAGAGATTATACTATTAATATCAGCTGCTTTCTGTACAGGTCCTGTGAAGGTAGATTTAGAGTTGAAGATGAGGGTCACATGAGGGAAGTGAAGGGTAGAAGGAGATCCAGAGTAGGGGAGGGGTACCATAAGCTTCTTAGCCCTATTACAGTATACCAACTACTTTTCAAATTAAACCTCTAGGGAAATAGTCTGAACTTATAAGAGTTCTTGCCTATCTAGTTTCTAAACTTTGGATTCAGTAGGAATCTGAACTGATGATTTGGTTTTACAGTCATTTATTTATTTATTTATTTATTTATTTATTTATTAGTGTTCCTGGAGAACAATGGAAAGGACAATTTACCACAATCCAGAAAAAGTAAGGCCAATGTTTTATTTTTAACTTGTTTGATTCAGGTTTAATGGGTTGTTTTGCTACTGTTTAAAACCTTTTAATTCCTGAATGTCTTAGAGATAAAATAATTAAGAGTTAGAGTACCCAAGACAAAAGCCATGTTTTGCATAGTCGGTGCTCAAAGTGTTTTTCCTGTCGGTTCTGTGAGCCCTTGTGAAGCATCAGAGATGCTTTCTCCTAGTTGTATTTTAGGAATAACTTGTAAAACTATCTGGATGCCCAGCAGTCTACTCTTTTGTGTTTTCTGGCATACTAATGTGTGATATTACCAGGTGTACAAAAAAAAAAAATCATATAATGCATGTGATTATCATAAAGGCTATATATTTTTTAAAAAATTATCTTTCAATTTCCTCATGTCTTAGAATTATTTATTTTTTAAAAAGTCCTTTTCCAGGACACTATTTAACACAAACAGTTGTAATTACAGTGGTCAATGTTCGGGCTGTGGAAAAACCATAGAGTCTATTCACTTGAGTGCAGAAGAATATGAGCTCCTCAAGAGAAAAATCCTGAGCGATGTGATAGATGGAGGTGACCAATACAAAAAGACAACACCTCAGGTGAGTCTGGACCAGGTTTTATTGCATTCTTGGTGTCTAGAGCAGGGGATGGCAATTTTTTTCTCTAAAAGGACAGATAGTAAATACTTTAAGCTTTGTGGGTCATATATTCCTTTTTGCAACTTTTCTACCCTGCTGTTGTAGTGAAAACAGCTATAGACAATACATAAATGAATGAGCATGGCTGTGTTTCAGTAATAATTGCATTTATGAAAATAAGCAGTAGATTGGATTTTATTTATTTTTAATGCAAAGAGAAGCAGTAGACTAGATTTGTCCTACTGGCCATAGTTGCCAGCCTTTATGAGAGATTGCTTTAGAATTTCATGGAACAATTGGGTCAGACTATTATCCAGCTATTAAAGTCAGTCCTATTTTATCTGGGCACAAGTGCACTTAAGCCAAAAAGATGGTGCTTATTCTTTAAATGCTTCCAGAAAACTGTGTTCAGTAAACTCCCATGAAAGTATTATGGTTTCTCACAACTTTTTTAGTCAAGAGAGTTTAAGATGACAAAGTTACTTCCCAAGTTTTCTTAGAATTGAATTTGATTCTCTGAATTATTTTCAATAGCTTTATTTTGCTAGTCTTCAGGGCTTTATGCTGGTTTACCGAGATTAAGTAGATGTAAAATACTTTTATTTTGAGGAAAAGCTGCCCATCATCTCGATGAATGCTTTTTCTTCAAAGTATTAAATAAAAACAAGAAGTGAAAATTGTTCTGCTTTCCTACCTTGACTTAAAGTGTCAGATCATATATTTTTATTGATTTCAGAAAGGAAGGGAGAAGGAGAGAGAGAGAGAGAAACATCAGTGATGCTGCCTTCTGCACACCCCACACTGGGGATTGAGCCTGCAACCCAGGCATGTACCCTGACTGGGAATCAAACCATGACCTCCTGGTTCATAGGTTGATGCTCAACCATGGAGCCACACTGGCTGGGCATAAAATGTCAGATAATGCCCCTAGATTATATGAAAAGCTTTAATCCTCAGAATAAAGTCAGTATCTGGTTCATAAAAAAAAATCTCCATTTTATGGAATACTTTTCAGCTGACTTTATTGATAAAATCATAGTTAATATCAAGTGATGCTAAGTACTTTACATCAATTATTTTTTTATTTTTATTTTTTAATATATATTTTATTGATTTTTTACAGAGAGGAAGGAGAGAGGGATAGAGAGTTAGAAACATCGATGAGAGAGAGACATCGATCAGCTGCCTCTTGCACACCTTCTACTGGGGATGTGCCCGCAACCAAGGTACATGCCCTTGACCAGAATCGAACCTGGGACCTTTCAGTCTGCAGGCCGACTCTCTATCCATTGAGCCAAACTGGTTTCGGCTACATCGATTATTTTTTTATATTTATTTATTTAATTTACTTATTTATTTAAAATAAATCTTTATTCAGATTATTACAGGTGTTCCTCTTTTTTTCTCCCCCATATCTCCCCTCCACCTGATTCCCCACCTCATTCCATGTCCTTACCCCTCTGCCACTATCTTCATCCCTAGGTGTAAGACTTTTGTCCAATCTCTTCCCACACCCCTCAGACCCTTTTCCCCCTGAGAATTCTCAGTCCCCTTCCTTTCTATGTCCCTAATTCCATTATATTTACCAATCCATTCTGTTCTTCAGACTTTTTATTCACTTGATTTTTAGATTCACTTGTTGGTAGGTATGTATTTGATGTCTTTTTGTTGTTCGTAATTTTTATCTTTACCTTTTTCTTCTTCCTCTCCTTAAAGAATACCCTTCAGCATTTCATGTAATCCTGGTTTGGTGGTGATGAACTCCTTTAGCTTTTTCTTGACTGTGAAGCTCTTTATCTGACCTTCAATTCTGAATGATAGTTTTGCTGGGTAGAGTAATCTTGGTTATAGGTCTTGCTATTCATCACTTTGAATATTTCTTGCCACTCCCTTCTGGCCTGCATAGTTTCTGTTGAGAAATCAGCTGACAGTCCTATGGGTGCTCCTTGTAGCTATCTAACTGTTTTTCTCTTGCTGCTTGTAAGATTCTCTCTTTGTCTTTTGCCCTTGGCATTTTAATTATGATGTGTCTTGATGTGGTCCTCTTTGGATTCCTTTTGTTTGGGGTTCTGTGCGCTTCCTGGACTTATAAGTCTATTTCTTTCACCAGGTGGGGGAAGTTTTCTGTCATTATTTCTTCAAGTATGTTGTCAATATCTTGCTCTCTCTATTCTTCTGGCACTCGCATAATTTGGAACACTCTTGGTGCACCCCTTTGTGGGCTGTGTGCACAGTCTTGTTATAGTTAAGCCTTGATTGTTGTTGGTATCACTGGAAGGAATTGACCTGCAGGTCAACTGGCTATGAGGACCAGCTGTGTCTATACTTGAGGTTGTTCCAGAGGCTCCTTACACTATCTTCATATTTTGGATTCTTTTTTATTTTTATTTTTCCTGTTAAGTGTTTTTTACTTCTTTGTATTTCAAATCTTTGACTTGATTCTTGTGATCCTCTAGTCTGCTGTTGGATCTCTGTATGTTATTATTTATTTCAGTTAGTGTATGCTTAATTTCTGATTGGTCCTTTTTTCATGTCCTTGAGGGTCTCACTAAATTTCTTGGAGGTTTCTAGAAGATTCTTGAGTAAACTTATAATCTTGGTTTTGAACTCTATATCCACTATTTTGCTTTCCTCCATTTCTTTCATTTGTGACATGTTTCTTTGTCTCTGCATTTTGGCTGCTTTCCTGTGTTGATATAGTGGCTTGTGTGCTAGGTGTCTTATAGGGCCCAGTGGCTCAGCCTCTCTAATTACCTGTGGTGAACACTCTTGGTGCACCCCTTTGTGGGCTGTGTGCACAGTCTTGTTATAGTTAAGCCTTGATTGTTGTTGGTATCACTGGAAGGAATTGACCTGCAGGTCAACTGGCTATGAGGACCAGCTGTGTCTACAATGGGAGAACTTCTGTGCTGGAGACACCCTTATGGGGCAAGACTTGCTTCAATGGGCCTTTGGTGCTCACTGAGCCTGCCCCTTCAATGTGTCGCATATAGATGTTTAGAATTGTAATGTGGTATGGTCTCACATTGACCCCTGACTCTTGGCTCTTGAATCTTCAAGGAGGTGCAAAGTCAGCCCCTGCCAGATGCCAACCAGCAGGAGCTACAGAGAGATCTGCAGGTTCCTCCTTTTTATTTGGGGTTTGGAATAGATGAGGCCCAGCTTTGAACCAATGCAGGCTGCTATTGCAGGGCCTTAGGCTTTCTTTTGGACTCCTTGGAGCTCTCTCACTCAGCTGCAGTTTCTTAGGTTTTAGGTTACAAGAACCTAAACAGGCCATTCTTATGCAAAAGCTGCTGCACACAGTATGGTGGGGTTGTAAATTGGGTGGGGTGGGATCTCAGGCAATCACCAGGGTGGAGCAAACAGCAATGGCTGCCAGTCCACACTGCCCTGCGATAAGAAAAGTATCTATGGTTAAAGAACAGTGAATTGGGTCAGGGTTTTGTAGTATTGCTGAGGCAGAAGGGGCAGGGATTAATCCAGAGCACTTCTGGTGGGTTGAAGTAAAGCCAACTCTTTTTCTGGGACTAGAGGGAAGGAATCAAGGATAGTGGATAAATTAAATACATAGGTGCAGCAAAGAGTTGGAGCATTTATTCAGACCTCTAGTTTTTCTGAGGGCAAATCAGTTATTTGAAAATGAGAGAAAGTATGATAGTCTAAGGGAGCTTGAGGAGAGTTTGAAGCCTTGGAAGATTGGATTATTTGTGAGAGGATTGGGCCAAGGAAGCCCCAACTGAGGCTGGAGAGCATTGTTTTCTAAGCCATATCTAGCAGTCCTGAGCCATCCAAGTATGCAAACTGAGAAGGCAGTTGGATGGTATGGTATGGGAGTTGGCTGGTCTGGTACTGTTGAGGGAAAGAGAAAACAGGAATGGAGGATGTAGGTGAGAGGTGGCTAGATCAATGAACCATGAGATCAAAGTTGATAGGATGTAAAGATGGGTGGGACATGGCTCAGGAGACTGTTGACATAAAAGTGAACTGAAGGCTCTTGGAAGTTGAAGATCCAACATAAAGGAAGTGAGTGGAAATCAGATTTGGTCTAGATGTGGCAACATGAATTTTAGAGGAGACACTATTCGTCCAACTGCAACTTTTCTTTCTCTTATATATATATATATATCTAGGAATGGAATGTTTGGGTCTTTTGATAGGTGTGTGTATAGCTTTTAAAGAAATCACCAAACTGTGTTCCAAAATGGTGTCTCTTTGTACATTTTTACTATCAGTCTATGATGGTTACAGTTGTTCTACATCTTGGCCACCTTAATATAGTCAATCTCTTTACCTTTAACCATTCTAATGGGTAGGAAGTAGTATGTCACTGTGTTCTTAATTTACATTTTCCTAGAGACTGATAATGTTGAGCATTTTTATGTGATTAATTGCCATCCTATATAATAAAGAGGTAATATGCAAATTGACCTTCATGCTGTCGCAAAGATGGCAACACCCTCAGCAAATAAAGAGGGAATATGCTAATTGATTGCCCCACCCTCAAAGATGGCAGTGCCAACAGCCAATAATGAGGGAATATATTAATTGACTGCCATGCCCTCAAAGATGGAAGCACCTACAGCCACAAGATGGAGGCACTGAGTCCTCTCAGCTCCCCAGCTACCCATGGCTGGCCCAAGGCACAGGCAAGCCTGGGATGGCGGTTACCCAGCTGCCCAGGGCCAGCCTGAGGAACGACCAAATGACTGAACAAGCAGGCTGTGTAGGGTGACCAGGTTGGCAGGGGGGTTGGTAAGGGATGGCCAAACGAGTGAACAGTAGGCTGCGTGGGGCAACCAGGTCGGCAGGGGGGATAGGGGTGACCATGCAGGAAGGGAGGGCAGTTGGGGGTGATTAGGCTCACAGGGGGGCAGTGAGGGGTGACTAGGCTGGCAAAGGAGGCAGTTGGGGGTGACCAGGCTGGCAGGGGGTGACATTTAGGGGCGAACAGGCAGGCA